TAGTTCATCGATTTGTTTGTTTTCAATTCACCATCTTCTTCTTCAATCGATCTTAATCTTCTTTTTACTGATTTCACTTTCCTTTTGTGTGCAGAATTGAGCGAATGATCAAATTCCAACATCTTCTAGTTCTTGAATAAGGGTTAAGAAACCGTGTTTCGTTTTTATTCTTCATTACCCCACATAGAATCTTTCTTGGACACGTCCCCCCACTTTGGTTCGTAAATCTTCTTCTTAACGGATTTTTTTTTTTTTTTTGCTTAGTTTGATGATGTTGTTTATAAGACTCAACTTTATGGATTGTTTGTTTGTATTTTCCAGGTTCGTTGGCAGTCGGTGATCATTTGCAGGAATGGAGAAAGTGTTTTCCACATGTGACTCACATATTACTCATATCCGGTGATATTTCCTGGTTTACTGGTTCGTGGTTTAATTCCTCTATTCTCTCCTTGGGATACACTATTCTTGGCGCCTTTCCAGCTCCTCGCCCACCAGGCTACTACTCTTCCAGAGAGTGGGTCTGGGAAGACTTGTTACGGAAGGAAGTCCAAGTCAAAGAGTACTGGGATTACTCCTTGTTACTGGTACCCGAGACAGAAATCCAGAGACCTCCTAGGTGTTGCACACTATACGAAATTCCTAGCCCAAGCTGTGACGACTTCATCAACCATCTCGAAAGTAGTGAACACAGACTGGAGTTCACCAACTCGGTGTTGGCCTTTGTAGACGAGAACAGTTATGCTATCAATCATTGCAAACTTTTTGAATATCCTGGCTTCAACGACCGTGATAAGACCATCCCCTGGACCGGTGAAGATCTTTCACAGAATGTAAGCATTCCCTCCTCTCCTAGTCTCAGCTTGTATCATTATATTTGTCATTGTAAGAAAACCTAAAACTGATTTTCGTTTGTTTGTAGGTCTCCTGTCTCTCCGACCGCGCATTCAACAACCGCATATTAAACCAGATCAAAGGTAGTTTGGATTCAATTACTTGTTTGATGTTTGATTTCCCCTTCTAGATCAAAAACATAACTGCCATGTGTGTTTTTTTTCAACCACGGATACACTATTCTTCGCGCATTTCCAGATCCTCAGTCAATGCCAACCTGCACGTATACTCACGCATGGGCCTGGGAAAGCTTACTGACAGAGAAATCATGTCTTGTGGACAGAAACAGCCTTATACCTTCACTGGAAGAGAATTCAAGCCTACTGAAAGATACAAACAGCCATGATGCCTGGTGGATTTGCACAGTATGCAGAATTCCTAGCCAAAGCTGCGATGATTTCATCAACCATCTCAAGAGTACATCTCATTCACGTGAAGTAAGCATCCTTTGCCTCCCTTAACTCTCTACTCTCTAACCATTGTAAGAAAATATCCTCATGTTTTCTGTTTTGATACACTACAAGAAAACAAGCAGTATTCCGACGGCCGAAATTTTCGTCGGAATTTTCCGACGGCATCCCGACGAATTTCCGAGCAAAATGAATCCGTCGGAATTTTGTGACGGATTT